ATGGACTGGTGCGCGGCACTGATAGCCGGTGTCGACTGCGACCGCGGCTCTAGCGTTCTGCGTAGTTCTAAGGCCAAGGCCCTATTGGAGAATAAACGGCGGAGGCACGGATACATGCAAACAGAAACAGCAAACAGGAAAGAGGAAAAGGTGCGCAGACTCTGGGCCCTTCTAGGCTTTCGAGGGAAACCCCTTCGGGCCTCTCTTTCTTCCTGGAAGTGAGCTTGAACCACAGCAATGGCACATCCCGCATACATCCCCGCCACCGATTTCGGCACCCACACGCTTCGTGGCCGAAGGCCCCAATGGCGCAACCCGCGTGCTTCCCTGCCACCCATTATGGCACACCCCTCACACCTTTCGTGGTTCCACGAGAACTCCGCCGAAGGTCCCAGTTGCGCAACCCGCATGCGCCCCCGCCACACATTTTGACACACCCCTCACACGTCCCATGGCCCTGTAGGGAGCTCCGCCGGAGGTCCCAGTTGCGCAGCCCGCGTGCGCCCCCGCCACTCAGTTTGACACCCCTCACACGCTTCGTGGCCCCATAGGAGCTTCACCGAAGGCCCGAGTGGCGCAACTCGCATGCGTCCCCGTCATCGATTTTCTGAACACCCAACACACGCTTCGTGGTCCCATAGCAGCTCCACTGAGGGTCTCATTTGCGCAGCCCGCGTGCGCCTGCGCCACCCAGTTCCTCTCACACGTTTCGTGGCCCCATAGGAAGGGAACTCCACCGAAAGCACCATTGGCGGTGCCCACATGCGTCCCCGCCACAGATTTCGGCATGCCCCTCACACCTTTTCGTGGCCTCGCGGGGGGTTCCACCGAATTCCCCAATGGCGCAACCCGCACGCGCCCCCGCCACCCATTCCAGCACACCGCGCACACGCTTCGTGGCCCCATAGGAAGCTCGACCGAAGATGCAGTGCCGGTGCCAACATGTGTCACCACCACCAAATTCGGCACACCCCTCACACGCTTCGTGGCCCCATAGGATGCTCCACCGAAGACCCCAGTGGCGCAATCCACAAGCGTGCCCGCAACACGTTTCGTGGCTTACAGAAGAGCTCGACCGAGGGCCCCTGTGGCGCAGCCCGCATGCGTCTCTGCCACACATTGCAGCACACCCCTCACACGCTTCGTGGCCCCAGCAAGAGATCCACCGAAGACAATACTCATAACTGAGTTAGTCGCAATTGCATAAGTTGGGTCCTTCGCCAGGATGTTTTTCATTCCCAGACAAATGTCGAAAGCACCCTGACCTTGCATGTTATCGCGGATTCTGCGCGCAACGCTCCGCACCCCGTTTTCTCACAACGGAATCCGTGTGCCTGCGGACCCACTTGTTCATTGAAGACACATGTTACTTGAGCGGGCACGCGCGACACGCTTTGTTGTGTTGTTGTGTTGTTTTTGCTTCTTGATACCAAAACAAGTTGATCTTGACTTCTACCGCGAATAATTCAGCGGGCCTCCTTCAAATTAACAGCTCTAAAGGAAAGCCCTGGGCCGACGCCCTGGCTGGAAAAAAACAAACGGAACACAATTCAAACATTGTGTTCTGCTCCTGGCGGCAGAAAACCTTAAACAGCTTTACACAATCCCGATAAGGGGCCACAATGGGGGGATCGGGGGATGCAGGGATAGGGATGTAGCGTAGTGATAGAAACAGAAAGGGCTAGGGGGGAAGGGATAAGGACGGCAATGGGAGGCCACGGGAGGCCACATGAGGCAACGACAGGCCACGGGAGGCCACGGGAAGCCCCCAGAGGCAACGGGAGAGGCTACGTACGGCAGGCAACGTCGCACGCCCGATTCCGGATCCCGCAAAAAAAAACATGTCTTGAAACAGATACACCGAACACCTTGCAGGCAAGATGTTCAGGGGTTAAGCGATCGCGATGACGGTGGCACTGCTCGCGAGCGCACGGAGCCCAATCCAACAATCACCGCCGACTGCGCTGCTGCGTGACGGGCCCCCCTGGCAGTTCTCAGCCTCGTGGGTGCAAAACGCATTCCTTAGGGAAACGAAACATGACATAAACATAACAACTCGGAAGTCTGCGCGGATTTCTTAGATCGCGCTGGACCTTCCCTGGCGTGAGGAGCGCGCCAGGGGCACGGGGTCCCAGCGCCGATCCGAGAAATCCGCGCGGACCTCCGAGTTGTTATGTTTATGTCATTGTGCGTTCCCCGATTCCCTTCCACGGCTCGCGGGCCCCTGGGGCCTCTACTTGGCGGCGCGCACAAGGGGGTGGAAGGAAGGGGGATGGCTTCTTAGAAGGAGGCTGCTTATCAGAAAATCCGGCCTTACATCTACGTATAGTCTCGAAACCAGCGTGGATTCATGTACGTGTACGTCCTTCTTTCGCTCCTGATAAGAAGCCCTCCCCCCTCCACCACCCCCTCTGCGCGTGGCTGACTATGCACGGCTCGCGGGCCCCTGGGGCCAAGACCCGCGAAGTCGTTTAGTAAAAGCGCCTAAATAAGGAACCGAACAAGGCAGGGCTGTTTAGTAAACGCCCAAGGCCGTTTAATAAACGCCAACTGTCCGGTCCGGGTGTTTTTTGCCTCCCTCGCGGGCCCCTGGGGGCCACGACCCCGTGGATGGGGGGCGCCTTTTCTCGCGGATGGCCCGTGCGGCGAGAGCCCGTGAAGCTGCGCACCCGCGGGGCCGCGCGCCGGAATTGAGGCCGCGAGCGCGTGGACGTGGATACTGCCGCCGCTCGTGATACTCGTCGTGTTACAGTCGGAGCGTTGACCGAAGGAGCCCTAAACAAGGAACGAGGCCCCTTTTTTCCAGAAGTGGAACTTCGATTTCCCATCGGAAACTTGAGGAACACCGTGGGCAAACTGTGAAACGATTGAGGAACACGGAGCCCCTCCCCAACGAAAAGGGTTCCTTCTTCAGCGCCCCGACTGTACGTTGAAGGAACGGGGCCCGTCTGCCAAGGCACCCCCTCTGCCCAGGCACCCAATCTGCTCAGGCGGGATGCCCAAGCGGTCTGCCCCGACATTAGATGCCTGGTCTGCCCAAACGCCCACGCGTCATCAAAGGCCCGGGACCGCTCGTCGACTTGTTCTCTCGTTCCTTCTACTTCGGGCTAGGGCGAGGCAGGAGAGCCCAGAACCCGACCGACAAGTCGGATCGGCGATCGAAATGACTCGGACCAGCAAACATCGGCAGCCAAGTCGGGAGAAGTCGAATCGGCGGCAATCGGCAATCGGCAAGCTAACAAGGCCTCCGTTGAGAAACTCATAGCCAACCCGGAATCCGAAGTCGAATCCAGTCGGAATCGACCGACATCGAATCAGATCGAGTCGCGGGAGGCGAAGCGAGACCTGCCGTTGGCAAACCGCTCGCCGACCCGTTCTTCTGGTCGCTCTGCCCCCGGGCCAGGGAGAGAGAGGGGGCTAGCCCCACATTGGCCCGAGGCCTGCACGCGCAGGAGGGTGGGGGGGGGTGGGGGGTCAGGGGACGTGCGGAGGGACGAGGAGGTGGAGGCCTCCCAGCTGGGCTCGGAGCAGATGGGTTCGGAGCATCGTGCTGCATCGGCCGTGCGTCGCCGATGCAGCGGCGACGTCGGCTGTGCATCGGCGACGTCGGCGTGGAGGAAATCGGCTCCGCATCGAGCCGCATCGCCGATGCATCGGCAACGTGGCGCGATCATCCTACCCCATCTGCTCTGACCCCACCTGGGAGGCCAGGAAGCGAGGGCCATGGAGCTGGGGAGATCTCACGGCCCTGGCCGTGATATCCCAGCCATCACCCTCCCCTGCGACGCCTGGTGGCCCTCGGGCCGCAACTCGGGCCTCCCAGCAGCCGTTTGGGGCGATCTGGGCACCCTCAGAAAGCCCTCGACGAGGCGCAATTGCTGGAAAGCATTCCTTGGCGAGAGAACCTCCAAGAGTCAACGGAGACCTCCTTCCCGCCTCCCCTTCAACGACCCCAGAACTCCGACGTCGTGATTTACTCACAACTGGTTGTTCACAACGTGGATCCCTCGAGGCTTAAACTCCTTCCGCGGGACCGGCTGTTCTTGACGCTTCGTCCTGTCGACGGTCCCGGGGCCTGGTGAGGGCCCCCGGATGCCGAAAATGGCCCAAATCTTCCCGCAGTGATTTCTTGGCAGCGCGAAGAGGTGGGGACGATTCTGACCAGGCTCGAACGTATCCCTATGCCTAAGATCGGCAAGCCCAAGGCGATGACAATCTTAGGGATGTGCCCTCAGAAACTGAGGGAATCCGTAAGATCAGCAACACGGGAAGGTGATGCCAAACATTGGGATATCGATATGCTTCAAGCTGGTCAGATTGCCCACCCCGTCCTCACGCAAGTCTTGGAAGCCCCCGGTCACCTCCTATAACTAGAGGAACAAAGACTGCATAAACACAATTCATTTCTCGGAGGTCTGCGCGGGTTTTCTCGGATCGGCGCGACTCCCCTCCCTGGCGCGCGGAGCGCGCCAGGGGCGGCGCCAGAAGCGCCGCCAAGGGCGGGCCCAGCGCCCATCCGAGAAATCCCAGCGGAGCTCCGAAAATCTGTGCTTGGGCTGGTTTCTCTTCCTCGACCTCTTGGATGCCCGCGGCGCCTGCATGAATGAGCGGCGAGCCTGGGGGGGAAATAAGAAGGGGCAGGCCTTCTCAGAAGGCTCGGAAGTCCCAGGCCTTCCGATCAGTTTTCTGAGCCTTCCCCGAAGACGCCGAAACGCTCTCAGAAAGCGCGAGGGCTTCTGAGAAGCCCCGCCTCCTTCTGAGAAGGCCTTCTCCTTCTCACTTCCCCCCCTCGCTCGCCGCCGAGTCTGGAGGAGGAGAGGAGGAGGAAGAGGAGGAGGAGGAGGAGGAGGAGGAGGCGGAGGAGGAGGGAGGGAGGAGGGAGGAGGAGGAGGAGGAGGAGGCGGAGGAGGAGGAGGCGGAGGAGGGAGGAGGAGGAGGAGGGAGAAGGAGGAGGAGGCGGAGGAGGACGGGCCGCGGCGGGGGGGGGGGCGGGCAGGCTCCTCCAACTCCGCCGCCATGGCCGCCGGGTCAGCGGGTTGCGCGCTCCGCCCGAGCGGGGTGCGCGCGCGAGGCAGCCAGCCCAGGGGCGCGGCCCTGCTGGTTGGGGCGAGGCCCGGGTCGAGGAAGAGCATCGAGAGGAGGGGGGGAGGAGGGGGAGGGAGACAGGGGGGAGGAAGGAGAAGAAGGGGGATGAAACTGGGTGCGCTCGCGCCGTATCCGACACCCTATCCCTCTCTCCCATCCCTTCCCATTGCGTTTTCTTTCATCCATCCGCGGGCGCGAGTCATAGCCGACATGGAACTCCCAAACAGATCCCACCCATCGTGTGATGCACAATCGGAAAACGGGATCTGCGTACGTAGGAGGAGGAAGAAGAGGAGGTGGCGGGTGAGCAGGAGGATGACCAGGATAACGAGGAGGATGAGGAAGGACGAAGACGAGGACGAATAGCAGCAGTAACTTGAATGGAAGGAGTGGTATGAGCAGGAAGACCAGGCGAAGGTAGAGGGGAAATGAGTGAGGGCTTGCGGCAACGATGAACACCAATGTCGGACCAGAAAAAAAGCCCGCGCTGAGGCGAGAGCATCATGCTGAACGACGGGAGCAAGCCGCCGATCCAAAAATGAGCCCACGCTGCAAGGGAATGCCATTTTGAAACACCGAAGCCTGTCGGATTGCACACACACACACACACACACGTACGACACAACACTCAAATTCCGGCGTAAAAGACAATACGCGGAGAGGGCCGATCATATTCCGCATAGAGTCAGGGTAGAGGGGAAAACCATATTCATGATGTGTAACTTTGGAGGGAGGAGAAGAAGAAGCAGGAGGAGGAAGGGGAGGAGGGATGAGGGAGGAGTCCGTAGCCATCTTGGCCCAAGCTCTTCAAGGCCACTTTCCTGCAATCCTCGATCCCGGTCGTTTATTGCCCCTCCGTTGCCCTCCGTCCGATACGAGATCATTATCTGATCCATTGGGGGTAACATGTGTTACCCTGGGGGAAGCACATTCGGGGGGGGGGGTAACAGGAACGGCGGCCGCGGCGTGCACCCGCCAGGGTGGGTCCGCGCCACCAGCACATCAATCGCTTGTGTGCACCACAACCTGTGTGCGCACGACGATGCCCAATGCCTTCAACACAGCGCCGCCTGCGTAAACCGCAGTGCCTCCGTACACCACAGCATCCGCGCGCACCACCTGTGTACACCACAGTGCCTGTGTACACTGCAGCAGCCGCGTGCGCAACAACGCCTATGTATGACACAATGCGTGTGTGCACAAGAATGCTTGTGTACACCACAGCGCCTGTGTACACCACAACAACCATGTGTACCACACTGTCTATGCACACCACAATGCCTCAGTGCAGCACAACGCTGAGCACAGTAACCTCTTCAGGTCTTTTGACTTCAGACCACCTCCACTAGTGGAAACGAAATATATGTTCGAAGCCCTTATTGGCGGACTTGGACCCGAAAGAAATGAACACTAACTATTTCTCCGCGGCACCCGCCGCGCAACAACGACGACGACGACGACGAGGACGACGACGACGACTACGACCACGATACGACAATGGCTACGGCTCAAACTACGATTAGTAGTTTGTGAACAACGCCTTCGGCGACGAATGTGTCGATCTATATTTCAATAAATTCGCAAACGTGTTCAACATTCCTCTGTCGTGCAAAGTCCCCTAGAGATCCTTACCCGCTGGGAGAAAAAAACAAACCCAACGTGTTCCCAGCGCGGCGAACATGAGCCGGAACCTATATACTTCCCGCCGCGATGACGACGACAACCATGACCACAATTACGACAACCACAGCCACTGATTCAGATTGCCATCCGAATGAGCAGGTGCTCACACATCCTCTCGCTTGTAGGCTGGCCCACAATGAATTATTCCCTCGGGATAAGATTCCCCTAACATTACCACACCCACCAACAATCGATCGAAACTAATCTCCGCCGCCACGACAACGGCGACAACTGCGATGCCGACGACGAGGACGAGCAGGAGGAAGAAAAGGAAGAGGAGGGGAAGGAGGAGGAGGAGGAGCAGGAGGAGGAGGAGGGGGAGGAGGAGGAAGAGGAGGAGAGGTGGATGAGGAGGAGAAGGGCGCCGACGAATGTGTCGATCTATATCTAATCGCTGCCGCGATGATGACGACCACCACGACCACAATCACGACGACAAGCCCACGAATTGATTCCCAGTGCAATGCGAATGAGAAGATGCTCACACATCCTCTCGCGTGTAGGGTAGTTTATAATGAATTCTCCCCTGGGAGAAACAGTCCTCCAACATTATGCAGCCCGCGCAACAATAGAGCTAAACTAATCTCCGTCGCGACGACGACGACCATTACGACAGCGACCACGAGGATGAGCAGGATGATGAGCAGGAGGAGGATAAGAGGAGGAGGGGAGGAGGGGGAGGGGGAGGAGAAAGAGGAGGAGGATGAGGAGGAGGAGGAGGAGCAGGAGCAGGGGCGGAGTTTGTTCCCCGCCGAGAGAAACAGGGGTAGGGGGGGGGGCAAACAAAGCATCTCCTGGTTATATTGTAGTCGCATCGCAACTAACCCGATATGAAGGAGAATATTGTTCGGTGACGACAATGTCGATCTACATTGCAAGCCTCAGACAAACGTGCTCAAAAATCCTGCGTCGCGCATGGTCGCCCAGGGGGCATTGCTGGAAAAACGAATCCCCACAACATTACCCAGCACGGCGAACATTAGTGGGAACATACTTTCCGCCGCGCGATAACGACGACGACAACCAATCGGTAGCTCGCGACGCGGGCGCCGACGAGGAATGAGAGGAGGAGGAGGAGGAGGAGGAGGAGGAGGAGGAGGAGGCGGAGGAGGAGGAGGAGGAGGAGGAGGAGGAGGGGAGGACGAGGAGGAGAAGGACGACGAGGAGGAGGAGCAGGAGGGGCGAGTTTGTTGACCGCCGAAAGAAACAAGGGCGGCCCTGAAAACTACAGACCTCGTGAGGTCAGTAGCTTGCGAGCACCACGTTGCGCTTGTGAGCACCAGATTGCGCCAGGGGCGGCCTCATGGCGGAATGGCGCAAGCGTCTTGCTTTAATGCCGGCGACAACAGGACTTGAAAGAGTACAGGCGGAGCCTGTTCTGCGGGGCTGGCCACAGACCGCGGAGGCCCTCAGGACTCGTCATTCGACTCCTCCTCCTTCTTCTCCTCCTCCACCTCCTCCTCCCCCTCCCCCCACTCCCTCCTCCCCCCTCCTCTTCCTCCGCGTGCCGTCGTCGCCGCCACAACCACAGGGCACCGACCAGGAACGACCGCCTGACACACAGAGTGCCCGCTCGCTGCAGCGGGCCCCTCCTCCTGCCCCTGCTGGTCCTCCTCCTCCTCCTCCTCCTCATCCTCCTCCTCCTCCTCCTCCTCCTCTTCTGCCTCTTCGTGAGGCTAGCCGCAGACTCAGGCCCTCGGGGCTCGTCCTTTAGAGCTCTCGCGGGGGAGGCGTCAACAATGATTCTGGCCAGGCGTGCCCTCCGCCTCCTCCTCCTCCTCCTCCTCATCGTCCTGTCCATCCTCCTCTGGTACCATTTTGCTGCACCGCTACGCTGTCGTACACCACAACGCCTGTGTACACCACAACGTTTGCGTGCATCGCGACGCTTGTGAGCACCGCAACGCCTATGCACACTACAGCAACCATGTGAACCGCAGCGCTCGCGTACGCCACAATGTCTGCGTGCACCACAGCGCCCGTGTACACCGCAATGCACTGGCCGTGCGTGAACGTCGATGCCTGCATGCGCCGGAGCGCCTGTGTACTCCTTAGAATGTCCTGTGGAAGCTGCAACTATTCACGCTTGTAGCTGGTTTGCAAGCGTTCCCGTCACGGGGGCGGGGGTCTGGGGGGGTAACACGTGTACCGCAAGGAGGATCAAATAACGATCTCTACTTGTTTCACAGGTGCCCTCAGGAAGGCCAGATCCTGGAAAAATCGGCCATCGCGATGCATCCAATACCAGGTGCCAACGACTGTCCTTGCAGCAGGCTCAGGGGCCAGACTGTTTGCCCTTCCGACCTTCACGAGCATCGCCTTCAAGGATGTGGATATGATTTGAAGGCGGCCGGGGGGTCTGAGCTGGATAAGCGTAGAGAAGATCTGTCAGGAAGGGGGGATGAAAACAAACTCGCTATCAATCGGTCCCCAAACCTCTTCCGGGGTCGAAACTGCCACTTTGTTCGAGCGGCGTCCAGCAATGGTGCTGAGGGCGCCTCGTTCTCCCCCTTGTCTTGCCAGAACCAGTACTACACCACCCCAGCCCCCCAGCTGGCTTCAAGATAGAAACGCAGAGACCAACACAAACACCAACCGTCGGAACTTCACGCGCATTTCTTGGGTCTGCGCTTGATGCCGTTTCCTGTTCCTCGGGAGGAGGCCGGAGGAGAGGGAACAGCATCTGCGGGAGCAGGAGGCCGATCTGGGTGCGACTCCAGCTGGGGCCCGAACCCAGTGCTGTGCTGGCTGATGGCGATCGTTTCGTGTTGAAGGAGGCCACGGGGGAACGATGGGGGGGATGAGCTCATGTAGAAGAAAACCTACATAAACATGAACTTTTGGCGCTCCGCGCGGATTTCTTGAATTCGCGCTGGGCCCCCCTTCCTGGCGCGCGGAGTGCGCCAGGGGCGTCGTCAGAGGCGCCGCCGGAGGGCCCAGGCGCGGATCCAAGGAATCTGCGCGGATTGCCAACAGTTTATGTTTATGTTGTTTTTTCTTCTTCGATCATGGGGAGAGCATGAAGATGGAATCAGCGATACACCGCCGATAGATCGGCGATAGGCCCCCGATACATAGCGACGTCGAACACCCCTGGGCAGGTGGGCGATCAGGCCCCTGGGGGCGATCAATGGGCGATCGGAGGTCGATGCATCCCCCCCTAAGCTTCGGGGGGTGGCTACGCCATTGAGAAATCGTAGGGGGCAGGACATCCACCTCGATAATAACCACCCCGACACGCGAAGCCGTTTAGTAAACGTACCCAAAGAAAGATTCAAACAGAGCAGGGCTGTTTGAAAGACGCCCAAAGCTGTTTGGTAAGCGCCAATTGTCGGGTCCGGGTGGTTTTTCCTTGCTTAAAACCGTGACGTCGGGGGTATGGGTCCATCCCTCCTCTGCTCCTGCTGCTCCTCGTCCCCCACTTCCCCTATCCACCTCCCGCCTCGCTCCTCCACCCCCCTTCCCCGCTCTCCTCCCATGCTGCCGCGACTTCCTCACTCAGAAGACTTCCCGGCAGCGCTGCTGCTCTGGCACGTGCGCGCCATCACTTGGTCGCGACACCCACCACCTGCTGAGAAATAGGCCACATCTGCCAGACCTCGTACCTCTCCGTGTCGTCCAACTGGCTGAAGAGGCTGCCCTGCTCGGAACCCACGCTGCCGCGTATCAACGCCTCCGTGTCGCGGTGCAGGTGGCAATTGCCAGCAATCTGCTGCTGCAACGGGTCCATCGCGAGCTGCTGCCACTCCTAGAAGAAGCAAAAGTCAGCATGACCATGAATTTTCGAAGGTGTGCCCCGCCTTCTTGGATCAGCGCCAGACACCCTCCCTGGCGCGCGGAGCGCGCTAGAGGCGGCGCTGGAGGCGCCGCAGGGGGGGGTCCAACGCCGATCAAACAAATCCGCGCGGACCTCTGGCAATTTTATGTCTGTGCAATTGCTTGTCTTCCTGGGGGGGGCAAAAAAGGTACCACTACCTGAACTCCACGGACCTCTCCTGGAGTGCCTTCTGACCACACATTCGAAGATCATCCGGCTGTGGCAGCAAAGGCTCTCCAGGACGAGCAGCGGTATCGTTAACCGACTGCGGGCGATGATGACACCCTGGGGATAATAAAGTTGGGGGGTCTGAAGGGCATAATAAAGGATTTTCCCGGGAAGGTAAGTTATGATGATGATGGTGCTGATGACGATGATCATGATGATGGTGATCCTGGGCGCTCGGCACAAGACTGACTCGAGAGATCTCTAGTCCCCATGGCCCTGCCACATGGTTCCTGACTCGAGAACGGCTGAGAAAGTGAGAATCCCATGGCCCTGCCGCGCGTTCGTGACTGGGGCAAACTGAACTGGTGAGAATCCCACAGCCCTGCCACACGCTCGTGATTGCGGAAGCTGATGTGGCGAGACTACCATAGCCATGCTCAGCGTTTTTGATGCTGCTGCTGGTCAACATGAAATGATAGCAACTTCGATTCGCAACTTCCCCGGTGGATTAGAAAGTTCGGCTTCCGCGCCCTTCTTCTCAATAAAAATCCGCCGACCCTGTCGGCGTGTGGGAGAGGCTTTCCCGTCTTCCCCACAGCGTCGTCGCCTCTTCTGCTTTCCGAGGGCTCCCTACACAAGTCCACACAAAAATTGAACAACGTCGTCCTTCAGTCGAAAAGAAACCTCTTCCTTTGAACCCTTCCCCGCCAGGCGGAGGGGTCCCGGGGCAACTCCCAGGGGGGGTCCCCCCTCGGATACGCAGCCCCCCGCCTCTTATCCTCCTGCGTCCTGGGGCTCCGTTGGCCTTCCGGGGCCGTCTGCGGGCCCTTTCAGCCAATCTTAAGGCTCCTTGGAGACCTTTCGCCATTTTTAGACTCTCTTGGCAGCCTCTGGCGGTACTCTTGACAGCCTCTGCGGGCGCTTTTGGACCTCGCTTGACGCCGTCTTGGAACCCTCTCGGGCCACTGGAGGGCGCCCGTTGCCTATCTTGGCACTCTCTGGAGCCGTTCCCGAACCCTGGAGGAGGCTTCTTGAGCTGTCTTCGGGCGACCTTGCAGGCATCTGGCGCCGGACTCCTCTACCTCCATTGTCTTCGTCGTCGCTGCCTGCAGGTTCGGCGGCATCGGCCGTACGACCTTCGCAATCCTGTTGAACGCGGATAATAAAAATAGAGGGCCTTCAGGGGGGGAGGGGGACCTTTATCATCGCCCGCGGTCGATTATATCTTTCCCTCCCTTGGCTTCGGGCTCCAACGGCGACCCCACGTCCGCCGACACGTGCTCGAGGTAGCCGAAACGCCCGCCGGGGACCAACACGCGGCTCGTTTCTCGCAGGGCCGCAGCAGGGTCCTCTGGCATGACGCAAGCGGGCCCTGAGGGAAGCGGGCCCTGGAACTCGGGTGAGGGGCAACGTTAGGGGGGGGACAAGTTCAGGGGGGTCAACATCGAGCTGAAATTCGAGGCACATCGCCGATCAATGAGCGATTGGCACCTGGTGGCGAAACCACCCGCTCCTGGGCGGGATGGGCCATCATTTCCCTGTGGGCGTTGGATTGGTGATGCGGGATCTTTGCACCACCTCTCTGTATCCCCCCCCATACCATTGCTCCCGATGCCCTCCTTCGACGCCAACTTTTCGTCCGGAACCGTTTTCTGTCGGGGGACCCCAAATCTCGCCATCGCTCGGACGTCCATCCTCGATATAGTTTTCGATGTCGTGGGTGTATGTTTGTAGCAGGATGCTCCAAGATGCTCCTCGATGGCTCTCGCCGAGTCAAAATGCACACGTCCGAGCGATGATCGTGTGGTGACCACACCACGTGATGAGTCGAAGGAGGAGGAGGAGGAGGAGGAGGAGGAGGAGGATGGAAGAGGAGGATGATGAGGAGCAGGAGGATGGAGGAGGAATATGAGGAGGAGGATGAGGAGGAGGCGAGGGAGGAGGGAGGAGGGAGAGAGGAGGACAAGGAAGAGGCAGGAGGAGGAGGATGAGGAAAAGGCGGAGGAGGAGGAGGAAGAGGAGGAGGAGGAGGCGAGGGAGGAGGGAGGAGGGAGGAGGGAGGAGGACAAGGAAGAGGCAGGAGGAGGAGGAAAAGGCGGAGGAGGAGGAGGAGGATGAAGAACAGGCGGAGGAGGAGGAGGAGGAGGAGGAGGAGGAGGAGGAGGAGGAGGAGGAGGAGGAGGAGGAGGAGGAGGAGGAGAGAGGAGGGAGGGACCCCAACATCGTGCGGCGACGGACCGCGCGGTGGGGTCTCCTGGCACTTCGAGGCCACCGCGCGGGCCGTCAGCACACGGCTTTGGGAACCCCGATGCGTTCTGCCCTCTGCAGCCGCATCACCTCGTCAACTGAACGACGATCAGAAACGGGTCTTGCGCGAGATGGCGTAGCGACCTTACGCGGCGGCTTACGCGGGCCGCCCGCGCGGCACGCCGCATTTGAAGCGAGGGCGCTTACGCGCGACCTTACGCGGGCAGCTTACGCACCACTGTCGGCGCAGACGACCCCGTTTTTTGGCGCCGCTCAACTGAAAGGTCCCCGCGAGGGAATGGGGGCCAGTGGAGGCAGGAGGGCCCAGAATCGAATCGACAAGTAGGATCGGCGATCGAAACGAATCGGATCGGCGGAAATCGGCAGCCACGTCGAGAGACGTCGAGTCGGCAGAAATCGGCAGGCTTGTAGGCATCAATCGAAGAATCGAAATCCACATCGAAATCCCAAATCGAATCGAGTCGGAATCGGACGCCATCGAATCGAACCAAACAGGAGGAATCGAAAGGAGTCCTGGGTGGGGGAAGGTGGCTCGTCCACAGGGCCGCCAAACCAGAAGAGACACTGCCCGCGGAGGAGCCACCGCCCGCGCAGCACACGGGAAGAGAGAGAGAGAGAGAGAGAGAGAGACAGAGAGAGAGAGAGGGCGCAGCCACCTGCAAACTAGCCTCGTCCCGAGCAGGCCTGGGACCCCCGATCCTGACAGTCCTGTGGGCGTTGCTTACTGTCGAGCCGGGACCGACCGTCCCAGCCATCAGCCTGTAGACCTACCAACCACCAAATTCTCTTAGATGTCACACATGTTCTAAAACCAAGAACAATGGTCTTATAACATAAACCCGATGTGGCAGAGTATCGTTTAACCGATCTCCATCCTCGGGTCGGGCGAAAGGGGGGGATAGCAAAGGGGGGGTTTGAGAATCAGCTCACGTAGCTGATTTTCCCGGCGCCCACCGGCGCCGGAGGCGGCTATGTATCGAAAAATGGGACCCTCGGCGAGGCCGAAACCAGCTGCATGCAGCAAATTTCCCACCCCCCCCTTTCCCAATCCCCCCCTTTCGCCCGGCCCGACATCCCCAGCGGCGTGGCCTGGGCCCCACTGGCCGATTTACCCCCCCTAAATGGGGATGTAGGTCGTTCCCTCCGGGTTCGAGGGGTGCATACCCAACCGGGGCGGTAATTTGGTGGGGGTCTCGAAGGGGATAGGGATGGGGATGTGGATCGGTTAAACGATACCGAACTTGATGCCGAGCCGGGAACGACCGTCCCGGCCATCCTATAGACCTAGCACGAGATCTGCTTAGAATATACAGATGTTCTAAACCAGAGATAGTGGTCTTATAGCATAAGCCTGATGTGTCAAAACAAGACAGTCTCAGCCAGAAATGTTCTAAGAACATGTCGTGCAGACCTCAACAGGTTCTCAGAACACTTTTTGGCGGACCTACAGGAAAGCCAGGACGCTTCGCTACTGCTCGATAGTGCGGGGGCGATGAATTGGGGGGAGACGCGTGCACCTGTCGTGCCCCTTTTGGGCCCCCTGCAGGGCACGAAAAGTGCACCTTTCTCCCCCCCCCCCGCTCACTCCTCGCACCCCCCCTCGCTCGGACGTCCCTTCCCCGTGCATCTCCTCCGGCCTCGTGCACGGCAGCTTCCCCCCCCTAAGAGGCTCCATCATTCTCCTCGCCGAGAGAACATGCACACGCCCGAGCGGTGCCAAAATCATGCAACTTGAGCAAGGACCGACCGTTCTGGCATTCATTCCTATAGGCCTACCACGGAATGCTCTTAGAACCCAGAAATGTCTGAATAACAAAAGCAACATTCTTAGAACATAGAAAAATCGATGTGTAAACACAAGACAGTCCCAGCCAGACATGTTCTAAGAACAGTTCGTGGAAACCACAAGAGGTTCTCAGAACATTGTCTGGTAGGCCTACACGCACGCCAGGACGCTTCGCCACTGCTTGAGCAACGCCCGAGCCCGAGCCCGCAGGCCGAGCGCCGCAATCGCGCGAGCTCGGGGCCCGCCTCCCCGCGAGGGCCCCCTCGCCTCTCGCGGAACCCCGGGGTCCTCCACGCTGCACAGCACCTCTCGGCAGCGAGCCCCAGGGTCGGGGGCGCGGAAACATGGATTAGCAATCCATGGACTTGGCGCGCGGTCGCCAAATCCATGGATCGGGGGAGGTGCCCTCCCCAAAATGCGACCGATGCCGCCTCGCTCGGCGGCGGGACTCCGCGACTTCCCATGAACACGGGACCCGTCGCTAATCCACGCCCCCTTGATCCATGCTTGCGATCGCCCGACAGACAGGGGGGGAGGAGGCGAGAGGGGCCTCCTCGAAGGGCTCGGAGGGCCTGGGGCCCTCCGAGAGAAGCTGCCCGAGCCTGGCCCGAGGGCGCAGCAAGAAGCCTCTCGGAGGGCGTGAAGGCTCCCGAGAATCCCCGCCGCCTTCCGAGAAGGCATGCTCCTTCGCACTTCTTCCCCAGGCGCGCCGCCGAACCTTGTTCATCACCACGGCGTCAAAGGTGGCATCCCTGAACGGTAGCCGCCGGGCCAGAAGAACAAGAGGCGGCATGAGCTTACAGTCAGGACCAGGCCAAAATAACATCCTCCAAGAGCATGAAGGCCATCCGCCGGCCAACAAACATTACAGAACATTCAAGTGTACACTACTCAGGATGCACAAAAACATTCAACAAGCACGAAGACCATGCGGGTTCCCTCCCCGAACCGACCTCGACCTCGTTCAGTGGAGGCCAGTCCACAAGAAACGGTCCACAAGAAACCCAACCCTGAGAACCCAGGACGTCCATTGATTTTTGGTGTGGGAACGTCGCGCTGTCCAGCGCAAAACCAACGACACCCAAGAAACCCAGGGCACCCTGGAGGCAAGCAGGGTGTCTCTTGGCATGGGCCTCCACTGTACTGCGATGTTGCATTTTTGTTCGCAGCGTCTGCACTCAAGATCTGGGGGTCCGAAAAAATTGCGGAGCCAGACCGTTCGGTGATCTCGGAATCCCCAGCGGCCTCACTACACGGTGCCTCACGATGCGGCATTTGAGAACCCCGGAGGCAAGCAGAGTGTCTCTTGGCATGGGCCTCCACTCTACCTCGGTCCGACTGTCGACTTTTGGTGGCCCGCGCGGGTTTGGCGGATCGGCGCTGGTGCCCCCCTCCATGGCAGAGCGGAGCTGAGGCGCCGCCAGGGGCGGCGGCGGAGGCGACTCCAGAGGAGCGTCGCGCGCCGATCCGAGACGTCCGCGTGGAGCTCCAACAGTTTGTGCGCATGCTGACTTTTTATTCTTCGGGATGGGCGTCGCCCTGCGCCCACCTGAGGGGGACCAAGGACAGCGGATATGTCGACCTCTGTCCCAGGCTTCGTGGGTTTTCGGATGGACCAGGAATTTCGGGCCCAACCCTGGGATATACGATTGGGGGGGCCGGGCGTCCATCCTTGGTGTGGGTGCGTCCGAATAGCCCCCTTGGGGTGTATCCCAAGGCTTCCCCCGTTTTCTGAGCGGCCAAACTTTTCGGGCGGAGCTCGGGAATTGAGGGAGACAAATCGCCTGCGAACCAAGACTGAACGCGGAAACGCTGGTGCGGGTCTTGGTCACCGTCCATCATGGTCATCGTCAATCCGTGGATCATCCTCACGAACTGGCGACGATCAGTATGGACCAAGACCAAGATCTGCATCGACAAGACTAGGCAACATCTTGGTCAAGGTCATCGTGCTCCCTCCCTCGAACTCAACCCTGCAGGCCAGTCCCACAGGCTGGCCCCGAACTCCGCTCCAACTGGGGAAGCCAAAAGATATCGATACCGCTACTTCCCGGGCCTCTCCCGCGGTGCGTGCTGGCCAGAATTTCGAGGAGAATCCAGCCGCGGCGACGAGGGTCTCCCACAAGGCAAGGGTAGCGGTATGGGTACCTTCTTTTTGGTGTGATGGTCACGGCCATCGCGAAAAATCACGACCGAAGCTCTACACCCGATCTTTCTGCAGCTGTTGAGTCGGATCGATCTGCGATGGTCCGGGGGCCCGACACAAAAAAAAATCCTGGTGTGACGGAATTGCAACGCCAAAAATCTCAGGTGTGGTCATCCTGCTTGTTGCAAACTGTTCATCATGAACCGTTTTTTGTTGCCAATCCCGTGGCCATGTAAGGGCCCAAAGAAGCCAGAAACGGCCAAAAACCCTCCGTAGTGATTCATGTCACGACCCGAGCATGTCTGGAACCCTTTTGTTTATCACTCGCGATAACGCCCCTGCCCCCCTGGTCATGTCACGATTGAGACCAATGTGGAAATTCCCTGGAACCTCTCTGGAAAACAAAAACATACAATCCACACACGAATCCGGAAACATATTGAGAACTGCGAGGCAAGGAACCGTTTCTAACGACCTCAGTTGCATATGGAGTTGGGCGATGCCAGGGGGACATGCCAGGGGGGCGCGCCGCGGATCGTTCCAAGGGGCACGCCATGGGACGTGCCAGGGGACGTGCCATGTGGACGCACCGCGGGACGTGCCAAGGGGACGCGCTATGGAACGTGCCAGTGCCAGTGGACGTGCCAAGGGACGCGCCGCTCGACGTGCCAGGGGGACTCGCCACGGGACGCGCAACGGAACGTGCCAGGGTACGTGCCAGGCGACGCGCCAGCGGACGTGCCAAGATACGCGTCAGGGAACGTGCCACGGGACGCCCCTGACCCAGGGCCAGGATCCTTCGTAAATTACGATGCGTCCGCACTCCCTGGGCCACGATCCCTCGTAAATCCCGTCAGCCCTCTGGGCGCAGGCTGTCTAACGATGTCATGTTTCCCTCTTCCAAGAATCCCTCTTCCCCTTCGGGGAGGGGCTTATCCCTCCCTCTACACGCTCCCCTTGACCTGGACGGGGGGGGGGCGCGATATGTCAGGGGGTACCTTTTGGCCTAGGATGGCTCCAAGAGGGCCCCAGAGTGCCCAAGATGGCCTCCAAGATCGCTCAAGATAGCTAACAACATGCCTCCAAGATACCCCAACAGGATCACAAGACGGATCCAAGTGCTTTTGGAGACCCCTCAGGACCTCCCTGAGAAGCCAACATCCTTCAAACACCTAAGGGACATCGATGTGTTTGGCCTTCTCGCCTCTTCGCTTCCGATGCGCATTTGAGGCTTCAAAATGGCCACGGTATTGCCCAAGAGAGCTCCCGGAGGGGCCCAAGAAGCCTCCAAGACGGCCTCAAGAGCGCCCAAAATCGCCCCAAGAGGGCCCCCACAGGCGATGTCTAAGGCTCTTCGGGGGGGGGCCAGATACGGACCCCGTTTGATCGATGGCCTCCAAAATTGCCTCAGGAGGCCCTCCCCTCCGAAGCTCCTAGGAGAGCCCCAAGAGAGCCCCAAGAGGGCCCAAAGAGGGGCCCCAAGAGGGCCTCAAGACGCCCCCAAAGAGCCCCAAGACCCCCGAAATAGCCCCAAGAGGTCCCCAAAATGCCCCAAAAGAGCCCCAAGAGGACCTCAAGACGCCCCCCAAAACACCCCATAGCTCCAAGAAGGCCTCCGATGCTCAAAGATAGCCTTCAGCATGGCTCAACACGTTGCTCCCCCTCCTCTCTTTGACCGCTCTGTTTCACTATCTGCGTCTCTGCTTTCCACTTCCCGTTAGCTCTCGTGGGCAAGGCTTCTGAATTGGCTGGCGGGGATTCGTCGGGCGTAAACAATTACGCTGCTTTCGCGTTTCCAAGGTCACGATCCCTCGTAAATCGTGAACTGCGCTGCATCCACACTCCCACGGCCGCGCTCCCTTGTGAATTACGCAACGTCTGGGCTCTCAAAGCTACGATCCCTAGTCAATTACACTGCGTCCGCGCCTCCAGGGCCAAGATCCATTGTCAATTACGCTACGCCCGCTCTACCTGGGCCACGGTCCCTCGTAAACTACGCTGCGTCCGCGCTCCCAGGGCAGCGCTCCCTTGTGAATAACGCAACGTTCGCGCTCCGAGGGGCAAGATCCCGAATCAATTCCATAAAAAATACGCTGCGTCCACGCTCCCAGGGCCACGATCCTTCGTAAAGTGCGCTGCGTCCGCTCTCCCTGCCTGGGCCACGATCCCTCATAAACTAAACTGCGTCCGCGCTCCCAAGGGCGCGCTCCCTCGTAAATTACGCTGGGTCCGCGCTTCCAGTGCCAAGATCCCTTGTCAATTACGCTGCGTCCGCGTCCCCAGGGCCAGGATCGCTGCAAAACAAACGTTTCGCCCGAGACAACCTCTGACATTCGGCACCCCATGTGCGCGATCCTCGAGCGGGCATGCGAAACGCCAACCTTCCTTCAAAATAAGCGCGGGTCTCGAGACACGCACTCCATGAGAGGGCACGACAACATATCTATATCTATATATATATATATACACACACCTGTACGACCACCCTGCGGGTGATAAGGAGGTTGGGTGGGGCAGCAATGGGCAAAAATGGTGATTGTTGTTCCGACGATGCCTGTGGGGCGGAGTCTAGTGAGTAGTGTGATTGTGCACGTGAGCGTGATGTGATGTGGCGATGTTGGCGAAGCGCAGTCGACATTGTCGTGAAACGCTGTCCCCGCGTACATGTTGATTGCATGTCGACGTGCATTGGAAAGCTCGCCGCGGCGCCTTACGATTTGCATTTGGATGTGCAAATCTATTTGCATTTCGATGTGCCTTTCGGTCTGCATGTCGGTTTGCATGCAGACTTGCAGTGGATAGCTCGCCGCAAGCGGCGATGTTGAATTGCGCGACCCACGGCGGGACACCGGCGGGACACCAGCGGGACACCGCGGGCCACCGTTTGACGGGAGGAACATCATTTGGTCCGGCCGCAGCCCAGCCACAGAAAGATTTCGGGACACCAGCGGGACACCGGCGGGACACCGCGCGCCACCGGCCGCCGGAGGAGAAACATTTGGTCCGGCCGCGGCCCAGCCACAGGAGGATTTCGGGATACCAGCAGGACACCGGCGCGACACCGCGCGCCACCGGCCGCCGGAGGAGAAACATTTGGTCCGGCCGCGGCCCAGCCACAGAGGATTTCGGGATACCAGCAGGACACCGGCGCGACACCGCGCGCCACCGGCCGCAGGAGGAGAAACATTTGGTCAGGCCGTGGCCCAGCCATAGAGGATTTCGGGACACCAGCAGGACACCGGCGGGACACCGCGCGCCACCGGCCGCAGGAGGAGAAACATTTGGTCAGGCCGTGGCCCAGCCACAGGAAGATTTCTTCTCGCCCGCCCATGCAGCTTCGCCTCGCGCGCACGCGCGCACGCACGGCACGCATGACACGAACCCGAAACCGAAACCAATTTCCCGGTAAGGGGGGTCTCCGGTCCACGTCAGACTCACCCGCCAACCTCCGACATATATATATATATATATATATATATATATATATATACATACATCCGTAAAAACAGATGTGTACATATATACATATAATATATACATATATACATACGTACATACATACACATACATGCAACATACACATTTATATATGTGAGAGAGCGTGATCCACCGCCGCTTTACTGTGGAAAATTGCCAACCTTTTCCTCCGG